AGTCAGGATCATTATGGTAAAGGAGGCCACTCAGCCCATCAAGTCCATGCTAGTTCTTTGTAGAATAATCCAGTCAGTTCCATTGCTCCCATCTTTTCCCATAATCCTAAAATTGTATTTCTCTCAAGTGCTTGTCCAATTAAGAGTCTAATGATGACTGTGAATCCATTGCTGATTGTTGGGGAAAACCCATCTGGTTCAGTAATGTCTTTTAGAGAAGGAAACTACCATCCTTACCTGGTCTGGCCTACATGTGACTCCAGACCCACAGCAATGTGGTTGACTCTTAACTGCCCTCTGGGCAATGTGGAAATCACTGATCATCTTCCACTTCGCTCAACAACAGCAAGTTCCAGGTCATTACCACCCACCACATTTTTTAAAAATTCTAGCTCAAAACTTCCCGGAATCTTCTGCCCAAAACCTCAATCTGCTCCCTGGACTTTTCTTTACCTGCCTCATCTTTACCCTTTAACAATCTTGCTCAGCTGAGATTGCTCCTTAGTCTCCACTCCCTATGAAAAACAAATTCACTTTCTTTAACCTAACCTCATAGCTAAATCCCTCATCCCAGAAACCAATCTGATAAACCTCTGCATTCTCTCAAAGATTTCTCATCCTTCCTAAAATGTGGTCATCAGAACCATATGAAGTACTCTAGGTGGGACCTAAATAAGCTACTTAGGTTTGGTGTAACTTCCATAAGACTATAAGACATAGGAGCAGAAATTAGGCCATTCGGCCCAAGTCTGCTCCACCATTCAATCATGGCTGATGAGTTTCTCAACCCCATTCTCCCCATAACACTTGATTCCCTGGGTAATCAGTAACCTATCTATCTCTGTCTTAAATATAAATATACTAAAATGACCTGCTCTCCACAGTCTTCTGTGGCAGTGAATTCCATAGATTCACCACTCTCTGGCTGAAGAAGTTTCTCCTTATCTCCATTCTAAAAGGTCTTCCCTTTACTCTAGGGTTGTGCCCTCAGGTCCTAGTCTCTCCTACCAATGGAAGCATCTTCCAAACATCCACTCTGTCCAGGCCATTCAGAATTCTGTAAGTTTCATTTAGATACCCCTTCATCCTTCTAATCTCCATCAACTATAGACACAGAGTCCTCAAACATTCCTCATATGTTAAGCTTTTCATTCCTAGGATCATTCTTGTGAACTTCCTCTGGCCCCACTTCAGGGCCAGTACATCTTCCCAAGGTGTAGGGCCCAAAATTGCTCACAATACTCCAAAATGTGGTCTGACCAGAGTTTATAAGGCCTCAGAAGTACATTCCTGTTTTTATATTCTAGCCCTCTCAAAATAAATGCCAACATTATATCTGCCTTCCAAACTACCAACTCAACATGCAAGTTTACCTTAATTCAGATTTCTGAATTTTCTCCCCATTTAGAAAATAGTCCATGCCTCTATTCTTCCTACCAATGTGCATGACCTCTGCGTTGTATTCCATCTGCAACTTCTTTGACCACAATCCTAATCTGTCTGAATCCTTCTGCAACCTCCCCAACTCCTCAATACTACCTGTCCCTCCACCTATCTTTGTATTGTCTGCAAATTTAGCCAGAATGCCCTCAGTTCCTTCATCTAGATAATTAACGTACAAAGTGAAAAGTTGTGGTCCCAACACTGACCCTTGTGGAACACTACTGGTCACTGGCTGCCATCCTGAGAAAGACCTTTTTCACCCCACTCTCTGCTTTCTGCCAGACAGCCAATCTCCTATCCATGCTAGCACCTTGCCTCTAACACCATGGGCCCTTATCTTACTCATCAGCCTCCTGTGCATCACCTTGTCAAAGGCCTTTTGGAAGTCCATGTAGATAACATCCATTGGTTCTCCTTGGTCTAACCTGCTCATTACCTCCTTAAAGAATTCTAACAGATTTGTCAGGGACGATCTCCCCTTGATGAAGCTGTGCTGACTTTTCCCTATTTTACCGTGCACTTCCAAGTATTCAGAAATCTCATCCTTCACAATGAACTCTCAAATCTTACTAACAACTGAGGTCAGGCTAATCAGCCTGCTATTTCCGTCTTTTGCTTTATTCCCTTCTTAAATGGGTTGGGGGTCACATTAGCAATTTTCCAGTCCCCAGGACTCTGCCTGACTCCAGCGATTCCAGAAAGATCACCACTATCTCTTCAACTATCTCCTTCAGAACTCTGGGTGTAGTCCATCTGGCCCAGGTGATTTAATCCACTTTCCAACCTTTCAGTTTTTCTAACACCTTCTCCTTGGTGACAGCCACCATGCTCACTTCTGCCCCCATCGCCCCCAGCTCTCTTGAATTTTAGGATATTATTTGTATCTTCTCCCTTGAAGACTGACACAAAGTGCTTATTCAGTTCCTCAGCTATTTTTTTGTTCCCCATTACTACTTCTCCAGCCTCATTTTCCAGTGGTCCAAGGTCCACTTTTACTTCTCTTTTTCCCTTTATATATCCAAAGTAACTCTTGCAATCTTCTTTTATATTACTGGTTAGCTTACCCTCATATTTAATCTTCTCCCTATTTCTTTTTTCATTGCTACTTCTGTAATCAACACCTGTATTTATGAAGTCTAGTACCTCCTTTACTTTGTTAAACATTCTTTCAACATGCCTTGCCAACTTCAAAGATCAATGTCCCTGAACTGCTAGGTCTCTGTGTCCATGTAACTATCAGACCATAAGAAATATCTCTCTATACCCCTTCTGCCAAAATGCATCACCTTATATTTCTCGATGAAATTCTACTTAGGCACCTGTCTGCCTGCTTTGCAGACTATCAGCCCTTTAGTAGTCCACTGATGTCCTTATTGCCTGCCACACCTTCAAATGTGCAATACTGGCAAATTTTGAAATTTCTCCACTTTCCAATATGCAAGTCATTTATATATTGCAAAGACAGCAGTGGTCCCAGCACTAACCCTTGCAGAACACTTGTGTCTTATATTTTCCAGCCTGTTTACTATGGCTCATTGATTATTGTCCTTACAGTCTAAGAATAAGGGACAAGCCATTCAGGACTGAGATGAAGAAGAAATTCTTCATTCAGAGAGTTGTGAACCTGTGGAATTCTCCCCCACAGGAAGCTGTTGAGGCCAGTTCATGAGATATATTCAAGAGGGAGTTGAATGTGGCCCTTGCGGCTAAAGGAATCGAGGGGTATGGGGAGAAAGCGGGAATGGGATACTGAGATTACACAATCAGCCATGATCGTATTGAATGGTGGTGCAGGCTCGAAGGGCCTACCCCTATGCCTATTTTCTATGTTAAGACAATGTTTTATCCAAACTGACTGATCATCTTAATCCACAAATCTCAATGCTGTCAAAAGCTTTCTTGGAATTCATATAGACAACATCCAATGCAGTCCTTCATAAATCTTCAGTTATTGTTTTTTCCCCCAATTATTTATTAAATCTCCTCCCAACTAATGTTAAACTGATTTGCCTGGAATGACCATGAAATGTCCTTTCACCAATCCTCAAACAAGGGTGTCACATGTCAGTACAGCAAAAGTTGAATAGTCACTTCCACTAACATTTTATCAGCACCTTATTCCTGAGTAAGCACTGATACAAAGTATTCACAAAGTATTCTAATCTTGCCTCTGAGAATTTACTGTATCACATTCTTTCTATGGACTCCACCCTGCTAGCCACTTACGATTTATGTGAATCATGCTGAGGTTGTGAAAATTGGCATACAAGTTCCTTGTTTTGACGTTATGCAGCTGGTTCCTACTCACAGACATTACTGACTTGCAGATCACATTAAAGATTGTAATGTTTGTAGTCAGTGTGTTCTTCAGCAGCACAATGACTGTCTGGCCTTGTACATGCTGGAGTTCAAAGTCATTAACTAATGCCAGGTCAAAATGAGCTTTTCCTTTGATTTCAAAGTGATATTGCATATGATTCATTTGTTCCATTCTGTATGCACCACCTCACCTCAATTTTCTCTCTTCTGCTGACCTTCCATTGTTGTATGGTTCAACTTGTGCAAGCAGTACTCCAGAACCTCACTACATTGTCAGTTTTCATCTGAACCCAGACAATGCACACTGCCAGACCCCACCTTCACCAATGGCCAGTGCAAACTGATATCCACCCTGGCTGCAGAACCACCACGGGACCGAGATGCTATATGAACTTCAACAGTAGTGAATCTACCCTCTGAATTATCAGGCAACTTCATTCCTTCTGTGTCGCTGAATAATTTGTTTCCCACTCTCATTAAAGTTGCTTCATGTTAAAAACGCCCAATGCAAGTGATCGAAAGCAAAGCATAACCATTGGTAAAAGAAAAGACCCATAAATAAACAGCAGGATTTAAAACAGGTTTTAATTTAGAAAAATCTAGTATATATGTTGTGCATTTAAAATCCAACCTGAAATATTTACTTTAAGTATAGGGTTAAAAAGAATCTGTAAGATAAAGAAAGCCAGTGGTCAGAGATTTCCCTCCACAATTTCCAGCATTAACACCAAGAAGTGGTCACAAAACTATAATTTACGGATTTATGGACCATAATACCTTCTAACCAATGAATTTCCCAAATTAATCCATTTTCTGTGAAATTTCTATCAGAATTAAAAACAGCCACTTTAATACAGTATATAAATGTTTAGCTAAAGCGATAGTTGTTTGGTGACATATTGCAAAATATGTTATTTTCCTACAGTCACAAGTAACATTTACTTTAAATTTTGTCTTATGTACTTTAGCTATCTTTGTGACACATTATTTGAACTAGTTAAGCCTGCTTTCTGCTGCAAAATCTCAAAGAACAAAACATCTGCTATTGCAGCAACTTTTTCCCTATTTCCATATCGTGCTTTGCTTGACATTTTTAAAAGATTAGTTGATGTTTAAAATGAAGTCCAACTTACTTAATACAAGTATTTTTGTCAGTGTAATCATATAAGTATCTATTTTCTGGACATTCAAGGAAGGGTTTATCCAGAAAACTTCATGTAATGACCAACCATCAAAAATACCATGTCAAGGACATTTTATTCGCTACTTCCAGATGAAACAGAAATTCTTCGCTATTTAAAGAAACAAACAGATCTCAGTTGATCAATAAAAGATTGGTTCCATGCTCGCCTTATTTTTCCTCAAGAGGTCCATTGACTGCAAATGAAACAAAAACAATTAATATACCGCACAGCTTTTATCATCATTTGCACTCTATTGATAACGTGTTAGTTTTAATAGGTTTATGAAAATTCAAAATTAAGTTCAGTAAAAAATCTTGTTCTTTAAATCCAGCCAAATTGGATATAAAAGCAGGAATTTTGCTAAGCAACTTTGCGTTATTCTTATTTGCATCTATACAATGATGACTAGAATAATTCTATTGAATGACTGTACTTGCCACACAAATATGTTAATACATAATTAAATCTCAACGAATACAGCTTTGCAAGTTTACAGACATTCGAAAATACAAACAGTACTACTTAAGAGTTAAACACTCAAGTAAATCAAAGCAAAACACAAAAAGGTTAAAAAAATGCACATGAAGCCTTAATTCCATCTTTACACTCTAAATGCAATGAAAGCTGCAATACTCTGTATTAAATTAATGTGATAAGTTTAAGACAATAACAGAAGTGTTAAGATTGAACTACCGGTGATAAAGGCTTCTCTCTCAAAATGTGTATTTTAAAAGACCCGTTGTCGCTTGCTCCAAATCAGTTTGCTGGAGTTCAACAGGACGACTTAGCTATCACCACACCCTTATACAGTCTTGCAACTTTTCAGGAATGAAAATCTAGATTTGTTGAGTCATTTCTTACAATTCATTTCTCCTATATTGGGGTTAAGTCTATAAAAGAACATAATAAGAGCAGGACGACATTCAAGCCACTTGCCTGCAATGTGGAACCCTACTAATTCCTTTTGGAAAACCCAATATGCTAGGTCATACTTATTTTCCCTGGTTACATCCTCAAAAAAAAATCCAATACTTACTTACAATATTCTTTCATGACCTGTGAACTTCCCTTGCGAGGCTAGCATTTGTTGCCCATCCCGAACTGCACAAGAGCAATTAAGTGTCAACCACATAGGAGTCAAATCTAGGCCAGACCAGGCAAGGATGGCAGATTTCCTTCATTAAAATGATATTTTTTGAACTAGATGGATTTTTACGACAATCAACGATAGTTATTATGGTCACCCCTTCCAGATTGATTAATTGACTTTAAATTCACCAGCTGCCATGGTGAAATGATTTCTCTTCCATTAAATCATGTTGACGCTACCTGATCACATTATGATTTTCTGAGTGCAAAACACCTTATATGGATTCTAACATCCCTCCAAAATTAAATATCAGACTATTTAGCAAAACTCCCTACTTTCTCTCTACTTCTATTCCAGAATAGTAGTATTACAATGTTCACTCTGCTACGATGTTTCCAGAACCTGAGGAATTTTGGAAGGTCACAACCAATGCATCTAATATCTCAGCAGATTCCTTTTTCTGTTCTTTTCCTCACTTCTTTCTTCTTGGTGACAAATCTGAACTCCCAGCCTCAGTGTGGACTGGGACTCCCAGCCTCAGAGTGGACAAGGCGAGGCGACCTCTCAGTACGGGGTGGCGGTCTCCCAGCCCAGCGTGACTGCCCCACCAGTGGCCCAGCACAGCAATCTCTGAGTGCCACGTGGTGGTCTCTTGGCCTGGCATGGTGGTTTTTCAGTCCAGTGTAGTCTCAGCCTGGACGTCCATTCTCAAGAGGATTCGAGAGCAGTCTCCCAGCCTCAAGAACCTCAAGGTGAAGCCCGGCACCGTCTGGAGTTAAGGCCAGGTGCGGACTGGAGGCTAGATGTCGGCATGGACTCAGATGAAAGGACTATTTTTCTGACCATTTTATTTTTCTATTTTCTAATTCATCCCTACAATCTGTAATGCTGGACTTTTTATTTCTTTGTTTTTCTAAAATATTTTTTCCAAAGAACCTTGTACTGAAAAATCTGTGCCTGGCTACCTTTGTACCTAAGATGGTGCCTTAAGCAGTGACTTGTAAACTTTTCACTGTACTCATTTGATTCCCTGTGACAATGAAGCTAATTCAATTCAATTTCTCTTCTGGGTCACCAGGTCAAGGACCATCAGATCCTGGGGATCCATCAGCTTTTAATTCCTTTAGTTTCTCCAGTACTTTTTCTCTACTAATGTTATCCCCTTGGTTCGTCACAATTTTCAGTACACTTTTATATCTTCAGCGGAGAAGGCAGATATAATATTTGTGTAATGTCTCTTATTTTCTATTTTCTGATTCTTACACTTACTCTTTGCTGATTCATTTCCATGATTTGTGATACTTCGTTTCTGTCTCTGTGATCAAAGCTAGAGTTAGTTCCTTGTAAGGTGCAGTACGACTTATGACTCACTGCAGAGTTTAGGAATGATTTCATTTCACTTGATTGGTTGTTTTCACTTAAGATTTCAGTGATCACAGTTCTATTAGTCTTGAAATAATTATGGAAAAGGATAGAACTGTTCAAAAAAATTAAAGTTCTAAATTGAAGTAAGGCCAATTTTGATGGTATTAGGCAGGAACTTTCAAAAGTTGATTGAACTTTGAATCATAGCCTCCCCCAATGTAAATTTGAGACAACAGGGCCCTGAGCATTGATTCTAAGGCAGACCATGCACTACTCACTAGATTCTCAATACAAAAGTTTCAAAACAAACATGTGCTCCTTCCTAAACCACAGACAGATTCTTATTGTTGGCTTTATCCAAGATTTCTTGAAAATTAAGTTTAATTTATCATTGGAGTTCTGTAGTTCACCTGCCACTCACCCCCGCCCCCCAAAACAAACAAGAAACTTCATTGGGTAGGAATTTCCCCTGTAGATTTATGCTTGCTTCTGTAAAACTAAGTTAGATCAAATTTATTAAACAACTGATTTAAGTTTAACAACTATTGTGAAGTCAATGGAGCTGTATTTGCCAGGTTTGCTTTGTGACCTTATTTTGAAAACAGGATCATAATATAGTCATGCCCCCTATTGTTCCCTGCTTTGGCAATTCCAAATTTTGTACATGTGCTGACTTTCTTCCCTAACATGGAATCAAATGCGAAGTTGCAAGTTGCTCCAAGATACATGCACTGCTTCCGTCACTTGACATAGTGAAAATGACGAGCAGTCACAGCAGTGTGAATGTACCGAAACAATAGGTGGCACTTTGTCCACAACACTTTTGTGTTGTAACATTGTACGAAAGGCTGCCTGAAGCGCAAAGAGGTTAGCAGCTCAGAATTCGAATACAGGGATAAAAAAGGTTGCACAACGTTTTGAGGGAATGGAGAAAGCTCTCTCAATGTTCCTTAACCCAACTTCACCCTGTCTCCCCTCCATTCTTTACATAATCAGTGTTCATTTTAATAGAACATTGTTTGTAGTGTGATAACATAAATTTCTTCAATATAGATATTCGATCATGCATGTTGTTTTGCAATATCGATTTAAATATGTTGTTCTCTGTAAAACCAACAACAGTTGCATTGCCACATTTAACCCTTATCCTCTGATTCAGCAAAACACAGGAACTCCACAAAGTAAGGGTATCAGGCAGCTTTGTTGGCAGAAAACTAAAAATAGGTAACAAACTGACATGGCAACATTAACTGCCACAGAAAATAAAGAGATTATTGCAAACAGAGCCACTATTATTTTTCAAAATTACTTCCACTGAAATATTCAAACAAACATACAACATGTACAGTAACAAGAGTTTTTTTTAAAAGGCAAATTCAGTTTTGTTGGTAATAGGAAGAAAAATGACAGTTTTTGAAAAGTTCTGAATAGTAGCACGGGAATTTTATGAAGCACAGTAATTTGTCTCCAACTTACTATTCTTTACTGAGGGTTTCATTTACAAAACTGGCTTAGGTCAAGGGGATTCACATTTATAGAGTCATAGAGATGTACAGCATGAAAAAAGACCTTTTAGTCCAACTCATCCATGCCTACCAGATATTCTAAGTAACTCTGATCCCATTTGCCAGCATTTGGCCCATATCCCTCCAAACCCTTCCTATTCATATACCCATCCAGGTGCCTTTCAAATGTTGTAATTGTACCAGCCTCCACCACTTCCTCTGGCAGCTCACTCCATACACGCACCACCCTCTGCGAGAAAATGTTGCCCCTTAAGTCCCCTTTAAATCTTTCCCCTCTCACCTGAACCCTATGCCCTCTAGTTTTGGACTCCCCCACCCCAGGGAAAAGGCCTTGCCTATTCACCCTATCCATGCCCCTCATGATTTTATAAACCTCTATAAGGTAACCTCTCAGCCTCTGATGCTCCAGGGAATATATCCCCAGCCTATTCAGCCTCTCCTTATAGCTCAAACCCTCCAACCCTGGCAACATCCTTGTAAATCTTTTCTGAGCCCTTTCAACCCTCTCGGAAGGAGACCAGAGTTTCATGCGGTACTCCAAAAGTGGCCTAACCAATGTCCTGTACAGCTGCAACATGACCTCCAAGCTCCTATATTCAACGCACTGACCAAATGTAAAATAAATAGGAAAAGAAAAACAAACTGCATTAATGAAGCTACCTTTCTTCATCCATATGGATGCTATAAACTAAATTCGTCACAATCCACATACCTTTGGGGACAAATTTCAACGAGCTGCTGAATATTCAGAAACGTGACTGGCCCGGTTTAGGCCCATCATTGAGGAACTCATGGCCAAGTCCATTCCCACACTTTCCACAAGAAACCTGAAACAGAGACATTTTAAAGATGTTGCAACAATACATTTTCTTCAACCCAATCAAAACCATTTTATGCAAACTTGCCAAAAGATGGTAGTTACTGCAAAAGAGGTAGAGTTTTGTCGCAAGCAGCTTTGGAGGTGTGTAATTAAGCAGGAGAGCAACATTCACTAATTGCGCATATTTACTGCAAATTCAGTGATAACAATAAATCGATGCACAGTTTATCATACCTTAGCTTAATCTAAAATCACATATTCTCTTCTTGCTCCCTGCCTTTTTCTCTTTTATAGCAAACTAGTAAACAAGGAACAAACCAGATGAGGAACAGTCAAAAGCACTGCCAGAATGCCTATTCCAAAAACAGGGAGTTATGTACTTTCTTCTCCTTGCATTCTCTGCCTGAAGGCAGATCTGACTGACTGTGCTGCCTTGTTCAACACTGGTAGTGCAAATCCTACTTCATCCCAAGCCCGAACACTGATCTTAGCACCAATTTGACCCACACCAGCCATCCAGCCAATTGAACTAACAAACACCCAAAGACTCAGAGTTGACATGGCAACATACAATTACCCTTTCTTATTGCAATCTGGAGGTTTGGTTAATGATGGTCGAGGTTCCAATAACTTTCTATCACACAGCTAACTGCAAATATTTCTCATTCTTACTCACCTGCTAATGGCGTGTGTTGGAAGGATCTGCAAGTCAACATTCAACCTACTCAACAGTACTTTTTTCATCCATCAAGTCCTGGAGTGGGACTTGAACCTGAATCTTTTGGCTCAGAGGCAGGACACTACCCACTTCACCACAAGATTTCAGTTCTTTTAAGTATATTAAAAGCAATGTCACAATGGAGTGGCCATTTCAATGCTGAGTCTGGTTCAGAATAGGCAAATCCAAATATTAGCAGTCATATATATAATCTTACATTTTCCACTTACTACCATGTTTGACAACATACCTTTAGGGCATTCTCTGTCTCTTTTCTTTTAGACAGACTGTCTGGATGAATCGTTTCAGTAAAAGCAGGCCATGGTGAGGAATGGTTATATTTAGCTTTACTTGAAAACAATTCATACCCACACTTTGAACAGATGTATATCCCTGTATTGAAAACAATGGTTAAAGTCTTACCTGGTCTGCAAAACTGAACAGGAACAATAACATTTACAATAAAATTTAGATCAATGACAGAAATATAAACGTTTCCGCATCACTAGAAATAAATGTTGTCAGACAAAATTGCAGTTTTCCAACGTCACTTTGCACATGTACATTTGTTTTTAACCTTAAGTTATAAAATTTTATCAGGGCAAATTTCCTTTAAGGTTCCAACTTGCCCCAGCTCAAAACTTGCATCATTTAGTCGTTTCTCTGCCATTTCCCTCTCTGATATCAACTTGCCCATGACGCCCACTTCCTACTCCATCATACCCATCTGTGCTGAACTACTGACCACGCACAACCCCTGCAGGCCAAACACTATTTCACTCCTTTCAACTTAGTTCATTGTATTTGCTCCTGCACACTGGGTAGACCAAACACAAATAAACTGGGCAACTACCTTCTGGAACATGACCACTCAGTCCACAAACGTGGTCCCGAGTTTCTAGCTTCCTGCTATTTTAATTTGCACTGTTAAAATAAAGCACAAAGGGCAACATCTCACATTTCAATTAGGCTGGATAGGGGAAAAAAAACCTGTGCCCATTGGCAAAAGCTTCCAGAAGCAGAGGAAAAACCTACTGAAGACTGCAAGGGGATAAGGGAATTGGGATTTGGGAAGAAGGATCAGGCTTTGGGAAATTGGAATTTGGGTTCGGAGAATTTGGATGAAGAATCTGGATTTGGAGAATTGGGATATGGGGTTGTCTTTTGATGAATTGGAATACAGGATTTGGGATTTGATCAATTAGGCCTGGATACAGGGAAACTGGGATATAAGAATAGGGATTGAGATACAGGGTTTGGGATACAAGATTTAGATTTGGGGAACTGGGAAACTGGATTTGGAATGCAGGATATGTGGTCTGGAGAACTGAGATAGCAGGTTTGAGATATAGGAAACAGGATTTGGAGGTGTGGAAGAAGGGAATTTGGATACCAGACAAAGGATATAGGATACAGGGTCCGGGGATTTGGGAGACGGGGTTCAGGAGGCAGTGCTTGGGGATTTGGGAAACAGGGACTGAGGATTCGGGTACGAGGGTTTAGGATTCAGGAGACAAGGTTTGAGGATTTGGAATTTGGGAGATGAGGTTTGGGGATTTTGGAGACAAGGTTTGCGAATTTGGGAGGCGGGGCTTGGGGTACCGGATTTAAGGATTTGGAATTTGGAGATGGCATTTGGGAATTTGGGACATTGAGTGCAGGGTTTGGGGATTTGGATGTGGGATTTGAGGATTTGGGATACGGGATACAGGAAACAGGACATGGAGATTTGGAAGAGGGGATTTTAGATATGGGACACAGAATAAAGGATACAGGGTCTAGGGATTTGGGAAATGGGGCTTTGGTGATTTGGGAGACAGGACTTTGGGAAACGGGGATGGAGATTGGGGATTTGGGATATGGGTTTTGGGATACATGGAGATTCGAGATGGGGCTTTGGGAGACAGGGTTTTGGGTCTTTGGGAGAAGGAGATGGGGATTGGGGATGGGATAAGGAGAGAGGATTTTGGGTTTGAGGATTTGGGACGGGGATACAGGGTTTGGGGATTTGGGACATGGGATGGGGATACAGGGTTTG